TACTTCCTCACCTTAATATTATTTTTCCTCAAATTATTATTATAGCTATTTACTTGCTTCATAGTTAAAAGCTTAACTTTCTGATATATAAAGGTATTATGACATAGCAAGTGGTGGGAAAAAGAAAAAATAACATGAAATGAAAGTGAATAAAATAAAAATGAAAATTTTATTTGTTCCTTTGGAGTACAGATGCATGCTGTATTCAGCAGTTAATTTCCAATACGGTAATCTCACAGACATTGCATTAAATGTTTATCCTTGACTATCTCTCTTTTAAAATAAATTATTATTTTTCTTTTTTTTTTAAAGATTTATTTATTTTATTGGAAAGGCAGATATACAGACAGGAGGAGAGACAGAGAGGAAGATCTTCTGTCTGATGATTCACTCCCCAAGTGACCGCAACGGCCAGTGCTGTGCTGATTTGAAGTCCGAAGGCAGAAACTTCTTTCTGGGTCTCCCACATGGGTGCAGGGTCCCAGTGCTTTGGGCTGTCCTTGACTGCTTTGCCAGGCTACAAGCAGAGAGCTGGATGGAAAGTGGAGCTACCAGGACTAGAACCGGTGTACACAGGGGATCCAGGCGCGTTGAAGGCTAGGACCTTAACCATTACGCTATCGTGCTAGGCCCTTAAAAGAAATTATTTTTCACAATACACTTTTATAGACATAGGGATTCATCCCTACCCTCCACTTCCTCCTTCTCCATTGCTGCCTCCGACTATTTGTCCCCATGTTAACATAGCCCATCAGTTCACAGTTATAAGCTTAAGTTTCTGATATTTAAGTGCATCACGACATGCTAAGTATAGGAAAAGATAGACACCAGAGCATCATAATGTAAAGGTATGTAAGTTCTCTTATGTAAGATTATCTCCCTTGTACAGTTCATTTATATGTACACATACAACATACATATAAACATACATATATTTTGTACTTTGCATGTGAGTTGTCTTATATCAGAGAGAACATATGATATTTATCCTTTTGGGATTGGCTTACCTCACTAAAGATAATGGATTTTTGTTGCAAGTAGTAATATTTCATTCTTTTTAATGACTGTATAGTATTTCATAAAGTAAATATATCACTTTTTTTTTTTTTACCATTCCTTGGTTGATGGGCTCTTGACTATCTTTAATTAGCCCTTTTCGTTTGTCACAAGGATCTTGGAGCTCAAAGTCTTCTCTTTATCTTATATTTCTTATTTCACACAAGTAGTCAGACTCCCATTTTTCTCTCGCTCATCTTTAAGTCTGCATCTTCCTTGCTTCTCCTCTTCCAGGTGAAAATCTATCTGCACCATGCTCGAGAATCATGCTGTGTGTGTGTGTGTGTTATAATAATCATGTGTGTAATAAAAAGTGAGGAAATACAAGCAAACACAAGGAATAAAATAGAAATCTCATGTGACTCAAATACCAAGATGATTATTGCTAACGTACTAAATTCTTTGTTTTCTCCATATATGATTATATATATCTGTCTATCAAATAGTGCTTTTACACAACTGGAACTATTCTGTATGTGCTGTTTCCCTTAACAGTAGATCACACTTATCTCTTAGATTAGAATCATGCATGACCCAATAGTCTTCAACACTGACATTTAAAATATTCTTTCAAGTGCAAAGGAGCCCTCCCCTTTTTTTCTTATTTTAAAGAATTGCATGTCTCTTATAGAACAATTAGAAGCCAGAGTTAAGAAAAACCTAAATGCCTAGAATGCAACCTCTGAGACTTAGCCAGCTGATAATTTTTATATAGCTCTATCTCTTAAGCTGAGCATCATTCTACATCCTTTGTGATAAAAAATATTATTTCACTAAATCCCATGATACTCTATGTCATTGTTAACCATGATGACAGCATCTATTCTGTAGAAACTTTGCACATGTGGGCTTTGTAGGTGGGACAGGTGAGGCACAGACTGAGGTAGGTGCCTCCTGAGGATTCACAGCTCTCAACATGGAGTGGTCCCTCCATATTGGTAAATCCCACAGTCTGTACTGTGCTGGAGCAAACAAATATCCACTTTTGTTCTCCTGTGGATGTTTTGTTTTCTATTACTAGTTGCATATGAAATTACTTTGTTTATGCTATGAACGAATCCTCACTTTAGTCATGCAAATGGTTAACAAAGGTTCTAATGCTAGTCATTGAAGAATCTATCATTTCTCCAACCAATTTGACTGCTACCTTTGTTTTTGTGTTTATCTTCTCCTGTCTTCTTTCGAAACTCATTTTATTTGTTATCCACACTCTCATGGGTCTTGAAAGTATAAGTTAACATTGAATTATCTGTACATTATTCTTTCTTTTGCATCGGTAGGGAAAGCAGCAATGAGCAAGATAAAAAACTTCTCTTGGGACTTACAGTCTAGAGATGTGTATAATATTTTGATAACATTTCTGTTTCATTTCTTTAAAAAAAGATGTACTTATTTACTTATTTCAGAGGCAGAGTGGCAGAGAGAAATGGAGGTGGGAGTGGAGGGGGGGAGGAAGGGAACAGAGAAAGAGCGAGAGAGAAAATAAATATATCGTCCATCTGCTTATTCACTCCCCAAATACCTACACCAACCAAAATTAGACTAGGCCAAAACCAGGACCAGCGAATTCCATCCCAGTCTCCCACATGGGTGGTAAGAATTCAGCCACTTTGACCATTTTCTGTTGCTTCCCCAGGCCTTTAATAGAAAGCTGAATTGGAAGCAGAACAGCCAAGACTCAAACCAGGGATGCCAGCATTGGAAGAATGGCTTAATCCTCTTGCCACCGTGTCGTCCCCTCATGCTGCATTTAAAGTGCTCCATGTTTTATACTCATTCTTCGTATGAGGCAAAGAAGTGTAGAGAGGTTAAGTAAGTTTTCCAAAGTGCAGTAGTTGTGCAGATGGTTTGGTGAAGTTAATAGGCAACTTGGTGCAATACCTTTTGTTTACCAGAGGGGAATTATAGGGTTCTGTGTTAGCTCTTAGCCAAGATACTTGATGGGGCTATGGGAGTCAGGATAGAGTTTTGGAGGGAGTGACCAGAAGTGATTCTGAAAGTGTGAGAATGAGTAGGAAGAGCACAAACTAGAGAGGGAAACTGTGTGGGAAGTGGGAGGCTTGGATAAAAACATTCCAGCTAGAGAAAGCAGGGTTCCGATGGCCTGGAGCAGAGAAGGTGGGGAACTAAGTATTGAGAGAAATGAAGTGCGGTAGGAGCAGCGTGGAAGGTGTGAGGTGCCCAGTCCTAGGGTCGGAGGGGCAAGATGTCCCTCACTGTGGGCCTTAGGAGAAACTTTCATGAAGGTTGACTGAGATGCAAACAGGAGGGCTTGCACTGGGAGAGAGGAGTCCCGCTGCTGGGCAAGAATGGACATCAGAGGAGTGTGGGGGCAGAGCAGACAGTAGGGACTCCTGGCACAGTCTGCATAAGAGATAGTGGAAGTGGATAGGAGAACAAACTCTGAGGTGAATTGGATTTAGCTGTATTTCCTTGCTGGCACAAAGCATTCTCTCCTCTTCATCTCAGTGTCAAAGGAAGAGCTGGGGTCCTTGTGACATCACGGTGTGGGACTGTGGTGGCAGAACTACTTGGTGGATTTTTAACTATGCTAGTGAAGTAGATACGCCATAAAAACAGCAAGTTATTTCCCCAAGGGCTTCAATGTGTCAGACTTGTTTGAGAAGTTACCCTTGTGCCAGACAGGAAACAAATGCAGTATAACTGCATAAATTGCCTGACCATATTGGCAATTTAAAATTGTTTTTAAGTTTGGTAAAGCGTGATATTTAGTACTACACAGAAGAATTTAATCATTTTAAAATACATTTTTAATAGCATAGATGGTGGTATTGTAAGTAAAATCAGCCTTTTCTGAGTAGTATGGTAACATAACATACTGTGGATAGTTTAATGTGCTAATGCCTTTCGCATAATGACATAATGACATAATCAAAGAGAAGAGAAATGCATGCAGAGAATGCCACTTATGATAGGCCAAAATGGAAAGATATTCTGTTGCCCAGGATTCAGGGAATAAATAAGCAAGCTATGTCTCACAACAAAGTGACACAGAACCCTAAATGACATGAACTTTACAATATGGTAATATTTACAAAAGTGCATATTAAATACTGCTGAACTGAACAGAACAGAATTTGTATGTGCCCCTTAAGTGTACATGTCTCATGCTGGGTATATGCTGACAAAGGTCAAAATCAACTTAGCATAATAGTAATATTTATTCAATCCATTTCTGTCCAAAAAGGCTGTTTAAGTGTGAAATGGAAATTAAATACTTTCTGAAAGTTGAAAGAAACACTTTTATATTTCAACACATTTTTCTTGGTTACTCCCTAATGCGTTAATTGCTCATTTTATAATCTGGGATGAAAAAGGAGTAAATGCTTAAATGAATGAAAGATTTCTCAGAGTTTAGTTAGGAAGATGGTTGTGTCTGAGAAGCTTTGGTACCACTAACAAAGTGCTGCTGCAGGAATGTGCACCTAATCAGGGTGAGAAATGGAGCGGACATTCTGTCCTTGTACTGCCTTCCACAGCGGCTGTAACCAAGCCCCACAAACTGGATGGCTTAAAGAAACAGAGCTATTTTCTCCGGTCCCTGGAGGCAGCGGTCTAGAAGCAAGGTGTCAGAGAGGTGAACTCCTTCTGAGCACTCCCTCTGAGGGACAATCGATCCAGGCTTCTCTAGTGTCCTGTGCCGATGGCTGATGGGGGGCAAGCTCAGCACTTCCTGACTTGGCTTCCATCTGCGTTTTTGCACACCTTCTACCTGCATCTCTTTGTCTTCTCATAGGGAATCCAGACAAAAGGTCAGTGGGACTTCATTTTAACGCACTAATTCCATCTGCAATAGTCCTATTTCCAATTAAGGGCCCCTATTGAAGGACCAGAGGTTAGGACTTGAGCATAATTTTAGGAGGAAAAAACTGAACTCAGGTTGGTGGAAGTGGTTTAATTGATGCAATGCTCTGATTCATTCCAGATCTATACTGCCCACAACAGTCCTGGGCGGTCTCCACAGGAGAAGAAGGTACAAACGGGGGAAGGTTTGCAGGAGAGTCTCAGTCCTTTCCCATCCCACCCCCCAAGGCTGCTGAGACGTCTCCCCAAAAGGCTGGCTTCACTTCCAGTTGGCCATGGGTAGGGGAGGCAGGGCACTAACGTAAGCCCAAAGGCGGAGTCAGCCAGACACGGCTGTGGGAAACTTCTGTGTCTGATTTTGGATTTCCGCACAGAGGCACCTGTTACATCGTTCTCCTGGGTGGAGGAAGTTTGATGTGGCTGGCTGGGAGGGCTGGGAGCTTTGACAGAGGCAGAGAGCCCTTTGCCTTCTCTCTGGAGCCCATGCCCAGCTGTGCTCTGTTCTTCCACACACTAAACTGCATTAGGACAATGTCCATGGACAGAACCATGGGTCTGCTCAGTGCTGCTTCAGAACTGGGGAAGTCTGCCCAGTACTGGGGCAGGGCAGGGCAAGGACAGGGTCAGAATTAGCTCAGTGACCTAGGCCGTGACCTCCAACCAGCTTTGGTTTACACTAAGAATGTGTCTTCAGTATAGGTGAGCCTTTAATTTTCTTCTGCCTTTTTCCTTGTCTCAAGTGAACTGTAGTTCAGGGAGGGGAAAGGAATGTCTCTTTAGGTTTCAGAATTTTCAGAAAAGGGTACAGTGGACTCATTTTTAGCTACTTCTTGTCCTTTGAGTGATATTCCATGGTTGGGTATAGCAAAGTTGATTTAAAAAGATAATTTGACTCTTAGGTTTGCTATTTCAAGTAAAATTACATGAGCATCACTACACAGGTCTTTTTATACATATTTTTAATCTGTGGCATAAATGGGTGATGGATAGAATATGTGGCAAATAAGTGTATAGTTTTTTGAGAAATGAGAAGTTAATTTTCAGAGTGATTGCACCAATTCCCATCTCCACCAGCAATATATGAAATATATTTCTTCATTTCTTCACCACCATTTGGTGTTGTCATTACATTTTATTTAATTTTTCTACTAAGTACATATAAAAATCTCATTTAGGACTTAATTTGGATTTTCTAGTAACGAATAATGTTAGAAATCTTCTTATTTTGTATTTGCTGTTCCTATGTTCCCTTGGTTGATATGTCTGATCAAGTTTTTTCTGCTTTTAATTTTAAAATTTTTCTTACGAAATTTGAGAGTTCTTTAGGCATGCATGTATTTCAAAATATTTTTGTATCGAAATAAACATGAATTTCAATTTCATTTTCTATGAACTTTTTGAAGTATCCTCCTACACATTCTACATATTGTTTTTGCCCTATTTTCTCTTCATTCTCCGTCCTCCATGTCTGTTAGCTTTGCTTTCATACTTTCTAAGCTGCATTCTTACTGTTGTCTTCAGCCTTGTTTTCTATTTCACTGATTCTGATTAGTGCCTAGTACGCTGATGACAACGTCCAGTAATTTTTGACTCTGCTACTAGAGTTTTCATTTCCAGGAGTTCTAGTTTGTCCTTTTTCAAGCTTTCTTGCTTGTTCTGCACATTTCCTGATTTTCTGCTTATTTTTTCAAGTGTGCGTGTCTCTACTTATACTAACATGATAATTTTATACTCTTCATCTGATAACATTGTTGTATGATGAACTCTTGGTGGAGCTTTCTCTGTCATCTGTAGATATCTTTTATAAATTATCTACAAATTGATAGCTTTCAAAAATGTTTTAGGGGCTGGTGTGGTAGCTCAACAGGCTAACCCTCCAATTGTAGTATGCGTGCTGCTGAAGCAAGCACTCAATAGGCTAACCTCCACCCACATACTTTGGTATCCCATACGGGAGTCAGTTCATGTCCCGACTGTACCACTTCTGATACAACTCCCTGCTTATGGTCTATGAAAACAGTGGAGGATGGCCCAGAGCCTTTGGCCCTCAGGCCCATGTGGGAGAACCAGAAAATTCTCCTGGCTCCTGGTTTCAGATCAGCTCAGCTTCTGCTGATCTGGCCACATGGGGAGTAAAACAGCGGTGGATAATCTCTGTCTCTACTTCTTTAAAATCTGCCTTTCAAATAAAAGAAAATAAATCTTAAAAAGTTTTAATATAAAATATAGATTTATAAACACGCCCAAATGTGTGGCTATTAAGTTATTATACAGTGAGTTATATTGTTTCTACTGGAGTAGAATTTGAACTGTGACAGCCCCTGTGGAGGCTCTTTCTTGGGCTCCACTCAATCAGTAACTTTGAAATTTACTACTTACATGGAAGGCATACAAGGGGATAAATTCATCTTAGTCTTGCAAGGGTCCCAAACTCCAGAATTTGTAGGATCTCAGACAATCACAGTGGGATGAACTGCATATTCCAAAGCAGGTGCACATTGAATTGCTACAGGAAACAAAATTATTGCCTCACTGGGAAAGCAGAATGGAATTGGGTGTCTGTAATCTCTCATCTTGCTCATTTGGCACCAACACGATTTCTTCTCATTAGCCAAGGAGAAGGAACAGAGGCTATGAGGCCTCATCTGAGTGTCTCCTCTCCATAAATGTGATGCTCAAAGATGTCAATTTGTGACTTCACAGGCAGCAACCATTACATGCACCATGCCAACAGATTACAGAAGCTCTCTGAAGAAACATAGTTAAGACATTTTGCAAAGCTCCTTACATAACTAACTGTATATGTGTAGCTCATGGTTTTATAGGGAGAGCTGTGCTTCTAAAAGAGCCTTAATGGACAGTCTTAATTCTCAGGAGTAAATCTTAGCTGATAAAAATCTTCCCTATTATACATAATTGGCTGAGCAATTCTTTCTGAAAATAAAACATTCAGTGAAGCAATTACCTGTGAGAGTGGGAAGTGAGGTGTACTTGCGTGCTTCATCTATTGAAGTAAGTCACCACTGGGGAAATTATACACCAGCTATTTTACTATCAAAATATAAAATTTTCATGGACCATTGTTGAGTCTCCTCATCCTCATTAATATGGCATTAAGTTTTCAAAATTACCTAAGTGCCCCTCACTGTGTTCTGTGTAATAGTGTGTTTTTGACTCCTGAATCAGACAGCTGGGATGCCACGTGGTGGGGCCCTGCCGAGTGGGGGAAATTATACATCTGGTGATTATGAAATTGGGCTTGATTGATTTAATCACTGTAATCACTGGCATTGTGCAGATATGCAACCGGGAGGTTTTCATTCCAACAATTATGCATGGTGAAGTCACGTTACGTGGGAGGCTCATCCCTGTGTTTATTTCTGACTAACTGGGAAGGAGGCAGGAAAGCAAGGCCAATCCCAAGGTGCAGAGCAGCCAGGTGAGCACACATTACACAGCCAGGGAGAGAGTAAGGTCAGCTAATGAGTTGGATGAAATCTTTGCTGAAACTGGCTCCCTCTGGACTTGGCTTTGGAAAGAATTTGTATCTCATTTAGTAGGCACTTGTACTTATGCCATGATCTTTGAAAGGCACAGGATCCGGTGCATACTAAGAGCTGCATATATTAGGGTCTTTCTGTGTGACAAAAATTTCAAGGGGATCTCAGAGCTGTGGAGAGGTGAACTGCGTCAAACTCATTCCTCTTCCTTGTGGTTACACAGTTCTCCAGATCCTCCCGGAGACACGTTGGACAGGGACAAAGAGGTGTCTTCTCACATTTTTACTCTACAGACTGATTAAGTTATCAAGCCCAGGACTGTCTACCCATAGGGTAGTGGCGCTAATGACCAGGGGTTGGTGGAAGGCTAGTCCATCTCTCAAGAAGGTGTGAAGAAAACAAGCAGAGTCTACACCAGTCCCATTGTCACTAACTTTTCAAACTCTGGTGAAGGAAGGAACACACTGTATCATGGGGAGTCCATGTGAGCTCATGTTCACAGAGCTCTGTGGTGTGCAATGCAAGTAGGGTGTGAGACTAAGAAGAGGACTTGAGGCAATCATTGATGACAGCCTAAAAGGTACAGACTTGTTGTTCTCCATGAACGTATACAGGATCACAGTTGGGTAAAAGAAGGAAGACCTTGGAGGCCACTGTGACACTTCCTTCACTATGCTATAAAAACACTGAGGTTCCAGAGGACCATCAAGATGACCCATCCAGGGATGTTGCTGGGACCTGTGTTGCCAACACATGTGGTACACAGTCTTCTTGGATGGCATGGAGACAACCTGTAAACTATAGGAATGAGTGACCAGGTTATGATGAACAGGCTGATGTGAATGCAGCCTGCTTGGCTATCTGCTATCAGTTTTGATGGGTAGCTTGATATGATGCTTTGCACATTTATTGATGGTATCAATCTTTTTCTTCTTATGCGTTGTTAAGAGAAAACCCCAGGGTACGAATAGATGGCAGTTAAGCTGCTTTGATTGAAAACTGAAGTAGCTCTGGGGAGCACGCCCTGAACCTTCTGCAGCAGCTCTGGACTCCTTTTCACTCAGTGATTTGGAAACTTGTGAGCAAGATGGAAGCACTCACCACATTTTCAGGTGGGAATGCTGTAAACTAAAGGTCCTGCAGGCAATGCAATGGGCTCCGGAGCCCTGGCAGAGTGATGAGCTCACCTCTATGGTCAGCAAACATGGGTGTGGCTCTGAGTGAGGCACTGACCTTGGCAAGCTGCCTGTTCTTCAACTACAAATGAGGAGAGTGATTGTACTTGCCTCATAAGCCATCAGTTGGGTTGCAAAGGGAATAATAACATAGAGTTTTGGCATATTGCTATTTACATTATCACCATCAATTATTTTTGTTTAATGGAATCAAATCCAACAAAGTGCTAGTTTATACGGTAAAGATAGAATTCTAGATTAGAGGGGCCAGCATGGTGGTGTAACAGGCTAATCCTCTGCCTGTGATGTCAGCATCCCACATGGGTGCCTGTTCGAGTCCCAGCAGCTCCTCTTCCAATCCAACTCCCTGATATGGCCTCAGAAAGCAGCGGAGCATGGCTCAAATGCTTGGGCCCCTGCACCCATGTGAGAAACCTGGATGAAGCTCCTGGCTTTGGGTCGGCTTAGTTCCAAGTGTTTGTTGTCATTTGGGG